CCAGTCAGACAGCAGGTTCTTGTCACCTCATGTGGATTTTTTGTTAGTTGTAATGGTGCTGTCCTTAACTATGCACCCAAACTGTTGGCATGTGTGCATTTAGACTGGGATAGAGGGTGGGGGAAGGAGAGGGAGCGGCAGGTATAATTTGTTGTAAGTGGAAAATACACTGTGAGTAGCATGTCTTTACAAAGAGAAGGCAGACCTTTTGAGAATGAGCAGTGTTTGCAGAATGGCGTATCAAAACTACCTGTCTCACATAAGAGGCAATTCATTTGTTATATTTTATTATTCTTGGTTATTTATATTACTTACACACTACTTAATATAATTAATTTTACCACTAAAATGCACATGGCAGTCAATAAAAACAATGTAATATAATCAAAAACATGGCAACAACAGTTAACAGAGCAGTGTCAGACAATATCATGATGGATAGTGGAGTGGTAGAATTAGACATATCCTGAATATAAGTCAGAATATGTCTGACATATTATTATATTATAACCAAACAAATGGTTATAATATTTGAAATTGGCCTTGTGGCAGTAGTGCCATATTTGCAGTGTATGTGTATATGTCCAAAATATGAATTACCTGACAGGACTATTTTCTTGTTTGTTTTCCATCAGATATATACAATACGACCATAATGTAAACTGCAGACATTAACCTCTTAGTACTATTACATGATAAATTACAATGCTTCCCCTGAATTCAGTAGTTCTGTTTTTCAGGACAACAAATAGTTTGATTTTAATCACCAATTCTTTCTGTGAGAATCAGTTATGGTGTAGCAAAGCGAATCTCATATTCTTAGTGTGAAATATGGGCATAGAATCTCCAAGAAAGCACTGCCTCTTGAATAACTTACAGTAGTTCAGCAGAATCTGGAGATCTGGGTGATAGTACGTCTTGTGAAAGTCTGCAGATAAAAGCCTAGTCACAAAATATATGAGCCACCTGCTGAAGCAGATTTAACTAAAATGGTTTGATTATGATTGGCGTGTTTCTTCTTGTCTATTCCCTCCTCCAGGTTTCTGGCACAGCACAGCACAGCACTCTTTTTAGCTTGGAGCTTCTGCCTGCTTCCATCACACCCAATGCGGTGTTCTTTGCTTAAAGTCTAGTCTTGTAAAGATGTATTCCATGGATGCTTTCTTGAAAGAAAGAGAATCTCAGTGACATTGTTCTTACATTCTTTCTTGGAAGGGTCCATATTTTTTCCCTTTTCTCCCACAATGTAACATTACATCTCTTTTATATGAACAGGGACCTAGTGACAGTATTGGTCCTTGCGTGAACTTTCCGAAAGTTTACTTTTGTGGATGGTACCTTCAGAAAGCCACCTTCTCCTTTACAGATAGACGAGCAAGCTTTTGTAAAGCCTGCGTCATCTTTTTCTGCTTCCAGTTTCTCCCCACTTCCTATCTATCATTACATATATTAGGTTGCCATCTGTCCTCCTGCTAATGGATTGCCATATGTTGTTACCACTGGTCCATGAAATGCAGTTTCTCCATGCCCCACCTGCACAGTTTCTGTCCTCCCATTAGCCATCCTCTTTGGCAAGTCTCTGGATAGGTAAAGAATACCAAGTGCCTTCTGCTTTGTAACTGCTACTCAAACCAGCAGGGCTTGCACCTGATTCCCATGCAAGACTCCATGAAATGAACAGAGCTTGCATGGCAGTGGCACATGGTGATTTGCATCCTGTCTTTTCCATTTCGCTCAATTATACTTGATTGATGTGATGAGGGAGGCAAATGACTATCACCAAAATAGCACAAGTTTATTCTGTTACCCTCTGTGCAGAAGAATCTTTCCTCTGTTGAATTTTTCATGTTGTCCTCTTTCAGATGTTTTCATCTTATTCTGGTTTGTCAGCTATCTGAGCTTTTCTCTTCTCCCCACCCCACACTCCTCCCAGGTCAGTTAATGTAGATTTATTGTCTCCCGTTCCTTTTTCAGAGGTAGCATTTTAAAGGGACCAAGTCGTTTTTCAGCAAAACCATCCAGTGACATGGGTTGACAGGCTACAGCAAAGCAGGTCACAACAGAATTGGATTGGAGGAGGTAGAAAATTGACTTCTGGCTTATGGGGCCAAGGCTCTTATATGAAATGCATACAAATTGAACAAGTCGTAGTTGGATGGTCAAGTAAATGGCCTATATATTGTGGAATACATGGGCAGAAAGGCAGGGCTAGTCCATGCCACCTCTGATTTAGCTAGAGTAGCTGTGGCTTTTGTCTGCTATTTGTTTTGAGTCTTTAAATCCCTCCCTTCCATTGTGTTACTGAACTAAATAAATATTTAATTTTATATTGCCCAATAGCTGAAGCTTTTTGGGTGGTTAACAAACGTTAAAAAAAATGCCATCAAGAAGGAAAAAAGTTAGCATAAGACAATAAAATCACAGGAATTGCAACCGAATCAGCACAGAGGTAAAGCAGCAGTACAAGATATTGCTGGTGCTAGTTGCGAAGTCTTATCTGACCCTTCGTGACCCCATGGACATGGGCAACACTCCTCCAGACCTTCCTGTCCTCCACCATCCTCCAGAGTCCACTTAAGTTCACACAATGCAATATTAAAACTAAAGTTAAAAAATTAACTGTTAAAATACTAGGAAAAGAAAAAGGTTTTCACCTGGCACTGAAAAGAGTACATAGTAGGTGCCAGGTGCACCTCTTTGAGGGTGTTCAAAGATAGGCTAGACATGCACATGGTTGGCATGTTGTGAGCGGAGCTGGCTGGAGCCAGCTGGAGCCAGGGGTCAGACTAAATGGCCCAAGAGGCCCCTTCTGACTCGCTCTGTTCTATATTTCTATGAGTTCATTCAGTAACTGGGGTGCCACAACTGAAAAGTCCCTTCTGGTAGTCACTCTCTCCTAACTTTCTTTGGAGGGGGTTCCTTATGGTCTGGGTACATGCATATGAGATAAGGTGTTTCTTCAGATAACCTGGCCCCAGTCTATTTAGGGCACTAAATTTTAATAGTAGGACTTTGATCTGGGCCTGGAATTCAAGTGGCAGCCAATGCAGCTGGAAGAGGACTGGAGCAACATGTTCTCATAAACCAGTTCCCATAAACAGTCTTGCTGCCCTGTTTTGGGTCAGTTGAAATTTCTGGACCATTTTCAAAGGCAGCTTCATGTACAGCACATTGCAGTAATCCAAACAAGAGATTACCAGAGCATGGATTACTGTAGCTAGGCTCTGTCTGTCCAGATAGGGTTGTAGTTGGTATATCACGTTGCCTATGAGTTCACTTGTACCACAAATGGCGTTCTGGAGCTAAGAGTACCCCCAACTATGGGCCTTGTCATTTAGGGAGAGTGCAACTCCATCCAGAACAGGTTGAATATCATCCAACTGGATAGATGAACCACCCACGAAGACAACCTCCATCTTGTTTGGACCGAGTCTCAGTTTGTTGAACCTCATCTAGTGTTCAGCTACCACCCACTCAGGCACCTTGGCCAGGAAGGGTATGTTGGCCATTGGCCTGCTAGATTTTCAGCAGTGGAAATCAGTTTGCACCTGGTTAGCTAAAAACAAGCCAATATGAGGGTGTTGCCTTCAATTCTGGCTTGGCAATGTATATTGAAAGTAAAAATACAGTTCTCATCTCTGCCCTTTTGTTCCTCCAATTTATTAATACAATAAGGGATGTTGATGCATATAATCCAATGCCATCTTGTTCACAACACCTTTCAAGGGGGACTTTTCATCATCATGTTCAATACTTAATCAGCTGCATGTATGAAAAAGCCATCACAGCTCAAAGTATTACAGGCAGAACATTTATGGGTTGTCATAGGGTCAGGAGAGTCATGTTAAAATCTGTAAATTGCATCTTCTCACACTTTCTTATTTTTCCAAGCTTAATTTTGTTTTCTCTGCAGTTTTCTTTCAAAAATTCTGCACAAACATTTCTGCATATTTTGGTATGCATTTCTCCTAATACATGTATTTGTAAATGAAATTTCCCCTAATTTTCTTGGCCAACACTGTTCTTTAATATAATGGCTTTGTATTTTTTTCACTCACATATGCCATTTGGATCGAAAAACTTCCTTATGCAAGTGTGAACTTTGAACCATAACTGTGTTTTGATTCAGAAGGTGCAAATTAGGTATATTTGCATTAAAATGAGAACCAAAGTAGTTTTCCCTCTGCTCCCAGTTAATTGTGTGCACCAGATGTACATTGTGGGAACAATGAGGTGCTCTTGTTGGTGCTCACAGATAGACCAGATTGCTGTGGGCTGGGCCCCATGGTGGGTGGCTGTGTGGTTGATAATGCAGATTGATGTTTGAGGGAAATAAGACATTAATTGGGTGAAAAAAACCAAAGACAGTAAAAAGTGGATTGCTGGAAAGAACTGAGTGGCTAATAAAGCATCATCCCCTGGGCTAAATCATACATCAGTGCAGTATACCTTTTATGCAAAGCACAGGTAATTTTTCAGTGCCATAATGGCTATTCTCTTAGAGATGGCATTTTAACAAGTGACTGTGTAATGATCTCCTGGTACTACACTAACACTGGAATCACTGTAGAACAATTAGACACTATGACCTGGTCTGAAAGAAAGGGCTAGAGAGGCATTCAAAGAAATGGATGAAAAGAGCAACCTGCTATCTACATTTGTAGGCCTTTTATGCCCATTGGAGACTTGTGAAAGACACAGTGGTGTTCTGGCTTTTGATGGTGATAGCCAGGGGCAAGAAAGAAAGCTTCCCTGGCAGGCCAGATACCAGCTATTACATAATCTCACTAGTGAAAAAGCCTTGTTAAAGTCAGGATTGAATCAGAACTCCATTCAGTCATGCATTCATTATTTTACATTTGAAAGCTAATAGTAAGAGGCAAGCAGATAAGGAAAAAACCTTGTAAAATAATCGGGTTTGCTTTTTTTATTAAGTCTTTTGACTTTTTATGTTTAATTTTTTTAAAGTTAGCTTCATGCATTTAATTTATCATTTACAGGAGAAAAGGCTGAAGGAAAAAGCAGCTAGAAGGGAAGCCAGAAAAAGAAATGCAAAGGTAAGGTTTTTTATTCTTTCACTAGAACTGTTTGCAGCTTTGAAAATGCAACATGAACAAGCCCATCTTGATTACTTTTTTCCTTAATTTTACCCAATATTGTCAGACAGCCTCCAACAGTGCGCTTTTCTCATTTTTTTTTACCTGTATGCACTGCGAAATGGAAGAGGGAGCTGTCTATTTCAGGAGTCTAAAAACACTGTATCTGTTCTGGAAAAGATATTCTTGTCAGAAGCTTACTTGAAGATGTCATTTCAGTGTTCTGCAGCAGTAAAGAAAAGTTCAGTGCCAAGAAAAGGGGAAAGCACCAGTACATAGATCTGCAGTGGGATGCTATAGATGTTTCAGTCTCTTAACCATAGGTAGAGTGGCCCATGGGATGAGAACTTGGCCGCAAGATTACATCATGACTCTATGGCAGAGATGGCGAATGGACCAATTGCTCAAACTGAAACCTAAAACCCACTTATTTATCACAAAGTGCCAACATTACAATAAAAGCAACTCACAGCCAGTTCAAGCAAATATATATATATATCCTCGGCAGCATGCAGACTGGCCATGCAAAAGCTCGGAAGAGCCACGGCTAATGAGTCGTGGCTCATGACATCCTCATCTGGTGCGCTAATCCTTTCCGAACATGCACATGGCCCCTATGTGTGCTGTTATCTGATGCTCATCTACGAGGACAATGCTGGATTGACATGGCTCACATGCTGACAGATAGGGCTCTGCTTGCGCACTATGGAACGCATGCCATAGGTTCTCCACGACTGCCCCAACCCTACCCTGGTGCACTTCCCTAACCCTAATATAGGGGTAAAATAACATTGAAAGGGGCGATTTGAAAAAAGCTTCCTTGAGTAGCTTTTTCTGCGCAGCTCAAAATTTCTGCCCATTCTAAAGACATTCCAACCATCAAACTCATGCCAGGACCCCTCATTTTTCAAACCCTAACCCTACCTTTGTGTACATCCCAACCCTAAAACAGGGTGAAAGTTCCACCAAAAAAAAGGCGATTTTGAAAAAGCCTTCCTGGAGTAGCTTTTTCTGCACAGCTCATCATTTCTGCGCTTTCTAAACACATTCCAACCATCAACCGTATGCTAGGACCCCTCGTTTTTAGAACCCTAACCCATCCCTGATGCACACCCCTAATGCTAATATAGCGCTAAAATAACGTTGCAAATAATGTGCTTTTGAAAAAGCCTTCCTGGAGTAGCTTTTTCTGCACAGCTCATCATTTCTGCCCATTCTAGACACATTCCAACCATCCAACACTTGCCAGGACCCCTCGTTTTTCAACCTTAACCCTACCCTGGTGCACACCCCTAACCCTAATATAGCGCTAAAATACCTTTGCAAGTTATGTGATTTTGAAAAAGCCTTCCTGGAGTAGCTTTTTCTGCACAGCTCATCAATTCTGCCTGTTCTAAACACATTCCATCCGTCAAAACCATGGCAGGATCCCTCGTTTTTCCAACCCTAACCTAGTTTGAGTTTGAACCTTTTAGAGACTTGAGTGCCCAAACTGCAACCCCAAGTCCACTTTCCACGCATGTGCATGGCATGTATGTACGCTGTTATCCAATGCTCGACTGCTGGGGCGATGCTCGGGCTACTTGGTTTGTGTGTCAACAGAGAAGTCTTGTGTCCCTGCTGTGTTACGTGTGCCGTAAGTTTGGCACCACTGACCTGTGGGAATGTGTTTCTGTGGTCAACAGTTGCTTCATAAACATAGTTAAATGTTGACCATAGTTAATTCTTAATCATACTCTAGTGTGACAACATTTATCTGTACTGAGTGTCATCTAAGTGCAGTTTCAAAACTACATTTGATGAAGGTAATAGAACCTGGTTAAAAGATGACCAGGTTACTCTGTGCTATGTTCATACTGATACCAGCATAGCTCTTAATCGCAGATCAGTCAAGAATATTTGGTAAGTATGGAAAAATGCTCATGGTAACCACCGTCCTCCATTCTTTACCATATGTAAAAGGTCTGGAAAGTTACATCTGGTGAACTTAATTACATCCTACGTTCCTATGTGAAATGAAACCCTGGCCACCCCAGGATAATGCTGAGCTGAGAAAGTTAGAAAAAAAGAGGAAACTAAATTATTATTGGAGTATCATGATTGTGCAGAAAAGTATTGGAATATGGCACTTATTTTGCTACCTGAGAGTTTATTATTACAGTTTATTATTTACAGTAGAGACTAGAGATAGCTCACTGACAGTGGCAAAGAGGGTGGAGCTCTGCCTATTGTTTCTCACCTCCCTTTCACTCTCCCCCAGTCCCCCAAACCAATTCAGATTTTAAGAATGATGGATGGCTGCAACCCAGCACATCCCGTCTTCTTTCTTAAAAATGTCACTGATGGGGCGGAGGGCATTTTCAGAGCATATGTGATAGCTGCCTGTATTCAAAATATTCACTTGGTCCTGCTGCCTATGCTGTTTCTGTGAGTGTATGTGCATGGTTTTTAAATGGGAGATATGCATACTTATCTGTTGGGGAAACAGCCTTTGTGCTGGGATAACGTAAAAGCACCTTCATGAAAGCTGAGAATGTTCAAATGTACTCCCTGGCTGTCAGCTAGGAAGCAAAGCCTCATTGGCTGTTCCCTGCCTTCCTAAACATCTATGATTGCTGGGCCATCCTGGAGACAGCCCCAGTGCAATCGTACAAAAAACAAGGCAAAGCAATTTTTTGGGCATGCTTAATAGAACAAGAAAATGGGTGGGCATTTTCTCTTCAGTCGAGAGCACGGATATTGGGCATGTTGTTGGAGTGAGGTACAGTGCAGCAGCCTTGCCCTCCCCACATGGAGTCAGGACCCTTTGTTGGACAGGATATACGGTGACTGGATTTACACAATATGACAACAAAATGTTGATTATTACTGTTGGTTCTTTGTGATGTAGTGCGGACCCATTTGGTGTGACTGACCTTTGCCTTATCATGGTTAAAAAATACAATGAGATACAACTATCTGTTACAGGATTTGATTGCACTACATTTGCTTGTTGTGTTGTTGCAATTGGAGAACAGAATCCATCATGGCTCAGACCCACGAACAAGTTAGGGAATGAAATCCAAGCTTATCTGGACATGTGGAAAGAGAACAGTCTCTAGTTTCCTTGTGTCCTGATACTGGATATACAAGCAAGCCTAGAATGTCTATCCCATGTACAATCTCAAATTTTATGTTTTTATTTATGTATTAATTTATTGCATTTTATAGTATTCAACAGCCAAATTTCTCTGGGCAGTTCACAACTGTTATTTTTAATTCCTTCTCCTCTTTGTAGTTATAATCATTGCATACTATAGGGAGTCACTCTGAACACACACAGAGAGAGTCAATATGGGCTTTCTTTTCAATTTGCTTCTGAGCTTATTGGTGTAACCATTTCAGTATAACAAATGAATGACTAGGGAACTGATGAAAAAATGTACTGATGTTTCAATGAAGAACTTCTAACTGAAGTTTGGAATGCTTAAAGGTTCCCATCAGTAACATTGGCTGCCAGTTCAAGTCCAGGCTGAATTCAAAGTGCTTGTTATAACATTTAAAACCCTAATGGCTTGGGCCAGGTTATCTGAACGAATGCCTTTTCCCAAATGTTCCCACCTGTTCTGTAAATAGTTGGCTGAGGTCCTTCTCAGGGAGCCCCTTCCTAAAGAAGTGAATGGGGTAACAATTAAGAGAAGGGCTCTTTATATAGTGTCATCCCATGTTCCCCAGAGAGGTAAGCCTGGCACCGTCTTGGCACCAGGTGAAAACCTTTTTGTTCTCCAGTCATTGTAACTGTTAAGTCACATACGACTTTTTAATTCTTGAGTTTTATTATTTGCTGTTGTACCAAGAGGTTTAAGTTATTATAGCTACAATGTTGTTGTCTGTTTTCTGTTTATGGTTTTATTCTTTTTCAATAGAACTTTTATTGAATATATTATTTTAAATTGTACACCACCCAGAAAGCCTGTGGGCTGTGAGGCAGTATAAAAATGCAATCAATCAATCAGAACAATGAACTTTCCAGTGAAGACGTGAATGCAAATCATGTTAAGGTATAATTTTGTAGTGGCATATTTATTGCAGCAGAAAGTTTGACTTGTTCAAGGGACATTGGATCTCCAACCTAGAAAATCATTCAGTCAATCATGTGCATCATTTCCCTTACCTGTCTTATTATGTTGCATCCAAATAAGCACAATTTGTGCTTTGCACTTAGAGAAGATTGGTTTCCTTTGAGAGTAATCTCATGATCTTATTGTGCTGGTGCTTTATCAGTGTTCTCTGCATGCTGTTAGTAGAACTTGGAGAACCGGTCTGGGAAAAAGACTCATTGTAGTTTGGAAGTTGGGAAATAATAGGTTTTATCATGGAAAGAAAAGACTGGTTGTGCTAATTTGTAACTGCTACAGCTTTTAGACAATTTTTTTTGAGGAAAAACACATTACAGATTGGTATTTAAGTGATATCTGTCAACTCTATCTCTGTAGCAGTGCTGTAAACCAGATCTAAAATGCATGTTGCTCACCCCAAGGCCAGAAAGCCCAGAGAAGAAGTTGAGTACAGCAGGTCGGAAGTTCCTTTCACCTGACAGGAACAAACTGGCAATAAAATGATCCAGGGTTTGGATGCCCTATCTCTGCCCTGTGAAGAGAGACTGAAGGAACTGGGCATGTTCAGCCTTGAGAAGAGAAGACTGAGGGGGGACATGATATCCCTCTATAAATACCTCAAAGGATGTCACAAAGAGGAAGGTTGGGATCTCTTCTTGGTAATTCCAGAATGTAGGGCACGGAACAATCATGGTGTAACTTGGTGTCCTACAACAGCAGGGGGTTGGACTCGATGGCCTTCATGGACTCTTCTATTCTATGATTCTATGACATCAGAAGGTCAGAATGTCATTTTCCTAGTATATATGCTTGCTTAGGGTTATGAACTTCAAATGCCATAATGGCAGGGCATATTGATGAGTA